ATCTGTATACACTAAAGTGATCACTATCAAAAGTCTAGTTATAGGCCTGGCCTGTGTGGTTCAGTTGGTTGGAGCATCATCCCGTGCACCAAAAGGTCTCCGGTTGGATTCAGGTCAGGGTACATATACCTAAGTTGCGGATTCAAACCCTGGTTGGGGCATGAATGGAAGGCAGTCAGATCAATCTCTCTCTCTCTCTTCCTCTCTTTCTTCCCCCCTCCCTTTTGCTCTCTCTCTAACAAAGAAATCAATAAAAACACATCCTCAGGTAAGGATTTTTTTTTTTAAAAGGGTCTAGTTAGCCCTAGCTGGTTTGGCTCAGTGAATAGAGCGTCTGCTTGCAGACTGAGGGGTCCCAGGTTCAATTCTGGTCAAGAGCATATGCTTGGGTTGTGGCTCCATCCCTAGTAAGGGGTGTGCAGGAGGCAGCCAATCAATGATTCTCATCATTCATGTTTTTATCTCTCTCTCCCTCTCTGAAATCAATAAAAATATATTTTAAAAAATGGTCTAATTATACATCACCATACCCATTTTGCCTTCACCCATTTTGCCTTCACCCAACCCACCAATCTATTCTCTGTATCTACTAGTATGAGTTTGTTTTTGTTTGATTGTTTTGGTTTGTTTAGTATTCCACATATTTTCACTTAGCATAATATCCTCAAGATCCATCCATGTGGTATCAAATGGCAAGATTTCCTTCTTTTTTTAAAAAAAAAATTTATTTGGGTGACATTTACTTCCTTTTTATGGCTGAGTAGTACTTTATTGTGTGTATATACCACATCTTTACCCATTCATCTGTCAGTGGGCACTTAGAGTGCTTCCATATCTTGGCTATTGAAATAATCCTGCAATGAACGTAGGGATGCATATATGTTTTCAAATTGGTGTTTTGAAATTATTCTGATAAATACCCAGAAGTGGAATTGCTTGTTCATCAGGTAGTTCTCTTTTTAATTTTTGTGAGAACTCTTCATAGTGTTTTCCATAGTGGCTGCACCGATTTACAATCTCACCAACAGGGCACAAGGGTTCCTTTTCCCACATCTTCACCAATACTTCTTGATTGTTGATTTGTTGATAATAGCCATTTTGACAGGTGGGGTACTTCTTAGATGACTAGGGATGCTAAGCATTGTTTCCTCTGTCTATTGGCCATCTGTATGTCCTCTTTGGAGAAATATATATTCAGGTATTCTGCCCATTTTTTTAAATCAGATCGTTGTTGTTTTATGTTGAATTGTTTGAGTTCTTTATTTATCTTGGATATTAATCCCTTACCAGATAACTGATTTGCAAATTCTTCTACCATTCAGTAAGTTGTCTTTTTGCTTTGTTGATGGTTTCCTTTGGGGTGCAAAAGCTTTGATGTAGTCCTATTTGTTTAGTTTTGTTTTTGTTGTCTTTGCCTTAGGAGTCATAACCAAAAAAAAAATTGCTAAGATAATATTAAAGAGTTTATTGCTTACGTTTCTTTCCAGGAGTTTTATGGTTTCAGTTCATATATTTAAGTCTTTAACCCATTTTGAGATTATTTTTGCATATGGTATAAGAAAGTGGTGTAATTTCGTTTCTTTTTGCATGGATCTGTTCAGCTTCCCCAGAACTATTTATTGAAGAGACTGTTTTTACCACTTTGCATATTCTTGCCTTCTTTGTCATAGATTAATTGGCACATAAACATGGGTTTATTTCTGGGCTCCCTGTTTCGTTGATCTATGTGTCTGTTAATATGCTAGCACCATACTGTTTTGATTACTATAATATTGTAGTATAGTTTGGTGTCAGGTAGTGTGATAGTTCAAACTTTCATCTTTTTTATCAAGATTGCTGTGGCTATTTGGGCTCTTTTTGTTGGATTCATTTTATATGAGCTCATAATGGATTATTTTCTAAAATCGTTATTGTTGAAAGTATTACATGTGTCCTCCTTTTTCCCCCCATTGGACCCTTCTAGTCCACCCTCACCTCCCACCCCAGGCCTTCACCACCCTATTGTCTGTGTCCATGGGTTATGCATATATGCATACAAAATCTTTGGTTTATTTCATGTAGGGCACCCGGTTTTAAGTATTTTCTACATTGCTGTAGTGACATTCTTCACTAGCCCTATACAGTATTTCAATTTTAGTATGATACATATATCAATTCTTGGAATCTTGTCTGGAATTAAACATCAACTAAGTTCAAAAGTAATTATTTTTTTTTATTTCAACTCTATAAAGTATACAACAGGCACTCGGCAATTACAGCTGCAGGAAAAATACAGAGCAAATCAAAGCAGGTTAAGTTTATGAAAAAGTTTTAATCTACATCAAAAGAGTGCAAGTGGTCAATGACCATTTGATGACAGTTGTTGCATTCTGACTAACAAAGAACTCTTTCATGTAGAACAAATTGTAAGAGGGCAATCAAGTAACCATAGCTGTAAGAGTACAAAAGAACTGACCAGTTGTAAAAACATCATACATTGAAATAAATTTGATAGATGAAGCTCAAAGAAATGTCCCTCTACTGGAAAAGCCCAAACCTCTGGGTCACTGCTAAGGTCCCAGAGCTCTCTGTTGACGCAGGGGCGATAGAGAGGAGGGCTAACAACACACTGCCAATGCTCAGCTTTCTAGGACTGTTGAAAACTTGCCTCATAAATGATTTGCATATACAAGAACCCAGAGAAAGCATCCTGTTTTGTTGAGTGGTGCACCAAGGTACTTTTTCATCATTGGTTTCATAACGAGGTTTGGTGAGCAGTCATTTTCGAATTTTTCTTTTGAGTTGGACCTTTGTTAATGGAGTCTATAAAATATACTAGAACTTGGTAGTACTAATCTTCTAAACTGAATCTGCACAGCTTAGCAAAACAGGAATACCTGTGTACAGACTGATAGTATGTCATATATTAATTTGACCTGCACATACATTTATACATTTCACAGAAATGACGCTGTATCTCATTAACAGATACACAGCTCTGGTACATTTAACAGAAATAAGAGAACAACTTCATCATTTCTGTAATTCATCAATATTATATAATAAAGGCTTATAAATTGTTAGCAGAAAGAACTGTAAAACGCAGCAAGCTAAGAAAGGACAACATTTTGAGGTGTGTTTGTCTTTGTCATGCAGCATAACACCAAATTTGTTCTTTTTAAAATAGGATGCCATGAATTTAAGGCACTTGCAACAATGCCAGATAGCCAGGTTGTGTTCTAAACTATGGGACAGATGAGTAACAGTACAGTTGACATAATTTTCAATAATACTGACAATTATGACATTAATTCAAGTCTACTTAGACCTAAAAACATTATTCAATACAAACAAAATGAAATAATAATGCTGTGAAACACTAAAAAAAGTTATATGTACCACAAAATATCACACAAAAATACCTATTTACATAAATATTTGTCTGTGGTCCTATTGTGAAAGAAAACATTGTTAAGGATAATGCACAGATCACCTCTATTGCATGAAATCAGTTCCAATAGCCTTAATTTCAATATGGTAGCTGACTTCCTTCAATTTAAGTTTATCATCAGTGTAGTCATTTAGAAATGAAACAAGGAAAATTCAATAGTTAAATTTGTATATTATACATGTGTAGTTCACACGCATATCCCATAATTTTAAATTAAAATTAGGACTTGTAAAGAATATAATAAACATAAATGTTTTAAATGCCACATGAATCTGATTCATATATTAATAACAAAGAAGGTACAAATGTAAAAAATAATTCATAGCAATTTTCCAGATATCATTTTTATAATGTTACTTAATCTATCTGATATACACTATTATGTTGTTCCTTTCCTTGGCAGTTTTCAGTTTTCCTGTAAGTCAAGATACACAGAAAGCCCTTATTTCCCATACTTGAAGTATTAACAAGAAAGTCAGTTAACAAATCAAACAGGTTGTCACTATTCTAGCTTACCCAGATGTTCTTTAGTGTGGGAAAACAGAGAGGGCCTGAAAAAATGAGAAGTAAAGCGAGACACACTCTATGAAGCTGACCATGAATTTTAGCCCTAGTGTCTTCATTGAGACAAGATTTAAATCCTTAAAATTCAATGTTGAAAATTAAATGAATGTTCTCTGTTAGTAATTCTTGGATGATGTAGTTCACTTTAATTTCTGGGTGATTGCTTTAGGCATCTTAATGCAATTCCATCGATGAAATGAACAAAGATGCAGAAACAGGTGGGAGAAATGACCTACAGGTACATTATGCTGAATACTACTGTTTCCTTCTATAGAACTTGCACATATTGGTTGTCTTAGACTTGAACCACAGTTCCAAAATCCATAGTAAATGCTAATCTCTGGGGCGATTGAGATATTTGAAAAGTTGCAGGAGCAGATTATTTTACTTAAAGACTAGGTAAAGTTAATAATCTAGCATGCCTAGCCCACTCTATCTTTTAACAAAAATCACTGAACATTAACCATAATGCCAAAATTGTATATTTTAAAAGTAATATAAAACTTCTAAATTAGCATATGTAGCTGGACTTTAGATGGGTGTGTTTAATTTTATATTCTAAAATCTGTAGAAGGAAGTGGATATTTTGGGGTCTAGATCAATTTTGAGAAATTGTAAGGGAGTGAAAAATTCAGTAACACAAAAATAACATCTTAGAATAAAAGTTTTAATTTAATTTTATCCTAATTATAATACGCCTTTAATATTTTTATTCTCCAAATGTTTCTTAGATTATTATATTTTGATAAGATATACTCTAAAGTAGTCTTAGTATGGACAATTCAAACCAAAATAATAACATATGCCTTCTTGGATACAGTGTAATGATCTAGGTCAGTGGTCGGCAAACTCATTAGTCAACAGAGCCAAAAAACAACAGTATAACAATTGAAATTTCTTTTGAGAGCCAAATTTTTTAAACTTAAACTATATAGGTAGGTACATTGTTATTAACTTAATTAGGGTACTCCTAAGGCTTAGGAAGAGCCACACTCAAGGGGCCAAAGAGTCGCATGTGGCTCGCGAGCCGCAGTTTGCTGACCACAGAGATTCTAGGTGGACATATATTTTTTTCAGAAATGTCTACACTTGTTTGACTTTTTTTTTAAAAAAAACTCTCTACTGGAAAAATGCAAACCCCTATGTAATATACCAAATTCACACACAGTTCCAAATCAGGATGACAATTTATAAGCTATGCACTTGTCTGAGTAGATACAATGCTAGATACAATGCTATTTGTCTAGGTCAAGCTTCCCAGTGGTTCTGTTGCTTATGACTATTAATAGTCAACTGGCCTGCCAACAAAGGGCTCAGTTTAAACTGTTGATCCTTTTCCCCATGTGAAAAAAGCAAAATCAGTGTGATATTTTTCAAATCCAACCCTTTCTAGGGAGTATGATATTTCAGGGTTGTAATATTTTTGTTCTGTTTAGCTCACTTTATTGTTCTCCTCTCTACTTCCTTCCTACTTTCACATGGACTCATCTCAGCTAATTCATGAAAAGGTTATCAATATATGGCCAAGTTCTTGTCTTGTTTCCCGACCTCACATAAGGAAGGTTTCTCACCTGGCTAGTAGACAAATCTCAATGATTTTTGCTTTCTTCCTTTTTTTTTTAGAGGGGGGAGAAGGGGTTCAGGCCTAAGACAAGAAGCTAGTTCAAACAGTTTTTAATCACCTTTCTCCCTCAACCCAGTCTATGTTGTATAAGTAAAATCTGACAGGAGTTTGGTTTGATAAATGTGGTGGAAATGCTTGAGTCTCTGGCTACACATGTAATGATTAGAATTTGTGTTGTCTGTTCAGACACTGACATTTACAGATGAAAGATATACATAGCACCTATATAGTTTTTTGTTTTTATTTTTTTTGGATGAATCTTGATCCCTCTCCATCCCGCCCCACCCTGACCCCTAGGGTTTATTTTTATAAAAGGGAATATTTTAAGCCTCAGTTTGAGGGTGTGTTAGGTAATAAATAAAAACCAATTGGCTGCTAGTCACTTATGTCTAGGACCATCTTTAAACACAATATTTTCAAAAAATATGAAATGGTTGTGAATTGCTTTTTCCCCCACTCTGTCATGCCAATTTATCAAAAACAAACGAATTCATGCATGCTTTTTTATTTCAATTCCTCTGTGAAAAACGCATATATACCTGCTATGAGAGTTCTCAGCAGAATCCATAGCAGTTGTGCTTTTAACATGTCAATTTTTTGAAATCTGTCAGAAAGGAAAGGTAACATTCAGGCTTGTCATCAGCACTGCTGGGAAATGAAATCATGAACTTCTACCACTGGTTTGACATGAATTCTATGACCAACAGATGCGTGGTCCTCGTTTGTACGGTATATACACCGGCCTGCGGTAATAGATCCTACAACCCTCACTTGAAGAAAGGGAAGAGCCCAGTTTTTGTACCCTAGAAATCTATCGTACCCTATATATTATTATTTTTTTAATCGTCTTGATAATTCTAGCAAGGTACAGACTCTCTGACTAGATTGAAGTGTTTCTTACTGTCTTTCAAATTAGCATCAGAGCGAAGCAAGATCATTGCAACAATAGAAAACATCCTTTTACTGGTGAGAGGCTTTTGCTTCAGGACCACCATGTCAACTGCTATTTGTAGGTTCAAACAGAAAACATGTAAAGAGCACTACTGTCGTCTAAGCAGTAAGTCCTAATGCCACTGTCGTTACTGGAGCAGCATCGGTCAAAGGCATCATGGTGACCCCGAGCATGAATCTTCTCTCTTTCCCTCAGGTTTGCTGGCAGCTGTGTCTCAGAAAAAGCTGTCTTCAGCAAGGCAGAAGCAGGTAAGAGAAATGACATTAGAAGTCTATGTCCCATCCTGAGTTGTCATCGGGTGGTGGTTCGTCATTGTCCTCAGGGAAACTGTCAAAATTGCTTGTGTCTGTGGGTGATGCAACCTAGAAATGAGAGAATGAACAGTAACAGCGTTGTCTGAATTTTTAGCAAATCCCATGATCGATGTTAAAATAGCATGTTTTATTCACTCCCTAATCAAATGGCTGTGTTGTTGTTGTTTTTTTGTTTGTTTTGTTGGTTTGTTATTTTTTTTTTTTTGAGTGTCTACTGGATAGCAGGTTTTGTGCTTGGTGTAATGGGAGTCACAGTGGTGAGTACAAATAAATATGGTTCTTGCCCTCATGGAGTTTTTACTCTATTAAGAAATATACTGCTATCGTGTGATTGATTACCTATAGATTTTTGTGATTATTTGTTGTACATTTTGGTCAGTGCTATAAAAGAGAAAAGGTGCCATGAGAGTATAAGTGTCGTCATGGAAAGCCTCTTTGAAAAAGTATTCTTTTAAACCTACAAATCAATGAGTTTGATAAAGAGGGAAGAGCACATGCAAAGGTCCTGAGGTGAGAGAGTGCTCCATGCTGAAGTAACCAAGAGACGCCAACTTGGCTGCTAAGAGAGAAGGGGAGTGGGGTGAGAAATAGGTAAATGGGGAGGAGTCAGGTTATATAGAGCCTTGAAGGCCATCTTAAGGATTTTGTATATTTATTCCATGTAGAATAATGAGCCATTTCTAAACTCAAGCAAAACTCTTGCAAATTTACTGGGCACAGTTCAATCTGTAGAGCATTGGTAAACGTAGTGAAGAAGCACACGTGTTTTCCCTCATATTCTAATATTTAAAACCATTTACAGATACAAATGTACCCATTTAATATCACCACTACATAGATGGAGACCCCTGATAAATTTAGTTTGGGATAGTGTAGGCTTAATATTTATTCCTTCAAGTTTCTCATTCTACTCTTGTTCTAAAAACAAAACTTCATGAATGCAATTAGCATTTGTACTGTGAGACATGGTAATGCCATTTTCCTTTTGTTTGTAAGTAAACATAAACATGAACATAGAAATAAATCTTTAGAAGTAGGGTTATGTTTCTGTCTAAAGAGCAGTCTTGAGTTAGTCCAAAACGAAGGGCATCCATATGAAGGGCTCAGGACCACAAAGCTGCCCTCTCCCCTTAGTTAAGATGCAGCATTGAATGAAAAATATAATGTGATCAATTAAAACCTATTTCAACTTAATATAAACCCCTTAGTCTCCTTAGTGGACTGGCTATTTAACAAAAGAGAGTTTAAGAAGAGAATTCTTTTTTCTCCCCTACAGTCTGATAAAAGAACAAAAGAACACAGTTGTGTCTGATAGTGCCTCAAAGTAATACGGGGGCAGAGTTTCATCTTTTTATGGCTGGGTACTATTCCATTGTATATATGTAAGCATCTTCTTTATCCAATCATCCATTGGAGGACACATAGATTGTTTCCTTTCCTGACTATTGTGAATAATGCTGCAATAAATACAGGAGTACAAATGCCTTTATGAATTAAGTGTTTTCAAAATTTGGGGGGGTAGATATCCAGAACGGGGATTGCTAGGTATTATAATTGGTCTATTCGTAATTTTTTTAGGAACATCGATTCTGTTTTCCATAGAGGCTGCACCAATCTACATTCCCACCAGCAGTGCACCAGGGTTCTCTTTTCTCCACATCCTCTCCAACACTTGTTTTTCTTGTCTTGTTGATAACAACCATTCAAACAGGTGTGAGGGGGTATCTCATTGTGGTCTTGATTGGATTTCCCTCATAGCTAGTGAAGTTGAGCATCTCTTGCCATCTGGATGTCTTCCTGGGAAAGTGTCTGTTCAGGTCCTTTGCCTATTTTTTAATTGGTTAGGGTTGTTGTTGTTGTTGAGTTGAATGAGTTCTTTGTTTTTGGATATAAGAACCTTATCAAAGGTAACATTTGCAAATGTTACCCCCATTTAATGGGTTGCCTTTTTTGTTGATGGTTCCTTTTGCTGTGCAGAAATTTTTAATTTGATGTAGTCCCATCCATTTATTTTCACATTTACTTCCCTTGATTTTGGGGTCAAGTTCACAAAAACTCCTTTGAAACCCAGATCCATAGTTTAGAATCAACATTTTCTTCGATGTATTTTGTTGTTTTAGGTCTTATACTCTAATCGTTAACCCATTTTGAATGATGACCTTTTGTATATGGTGTCAGATAGCAGTCTAGTTTCAGTCTTTTGCATGTGGCTTTCCAATTTTCCAAACAGCGTTTATTGAAGAGGCTTTCTTTATTGTGTTTTGGACACTTTATGAGAAATTAGCCGCCCATATATGTATGGCTTTATTTCTGGGCTCTCAATTCTCTTCCATTTTTGTGTGTCTACTTTTCTGCCAACACCATATTGTTTTGAATATTGTGGCTTTGTAATACAGTTTGAAGACAGGAACAAGGGAGGAGGAACTATGTGGGGGCATAAATGAAACATTTTGGCCAGGAATCCATAGCAGTTGAAAATTGTTGCTGGTCTGCTGACCATACCCTACCAGAAACCAGAGGGTAAAGGAATGCTTTGATGTGGCTCTTATGGGTACCAGTGGTCCTCAACCTTCTGGCCCTTTAAATACAGTTCCTCATGTTGTGACCCAACCATAAAATTATCTTCGTTGCTACTTCATAACTGTAATGTTGCTACTGTTATGAATTGTAATGTAAATATCTGATTTGCAGGGTGGTCTCAGGCGACCCCTGTGAAAGGCTCGTTCGACCGCTAAAGGGGTCACGACCCACAGGTTGAGAACCGCTGGTAGACTATTGGAGACAAAGCAAGGTAGAGAGTAAACAGGATTCATAAATAAAAAATAACACACATTATCCTAACTCACCCAAGTATACTCACATAATATACTGTATACTGAACACACGTGAAGAAATTTAAAGTATACATGTTTCTAGTAATAATTCATGAATATGACAAATTCATTAAAGTTGTTGAATAATGTATCCTTATTCTTGGGTAATGATGTATAGAGTTTGTAATGGAAAAAAAAACACACCTGGTTGCTGGAGATTCAGTATACTCTTCTGTCTATGCCAGTATATATTTAACACTTACCATACTAAAAGTCAGCTTTTATTCACAAATGAAATAAACTTAAATGAGAATGAATAGTCAAAAAAGGTAATGTTAAAATACATATATAATAACCATCTCCCAGCTTATCTGTTTTTAAGCTTGGGTTTTGGATGTAATTATTTTAATATGGTACTTCTGTTATCTTTACAGTTTTATCTTATAATCAGATGAAATATAAAATAGATTTCTGATGACGGACAAATGCCTTCATGTGGACAAACACAGACAAACTGGAAGGTCTACTTACACTTGGTATTATAGGAGGTGTCAAGGTGCCTTTTCTTAAGCCTTCCCAATTAAAGCCCTCAAACCATCTAGGAAAGGAAAAAAGTAAGAGTTAAAAGCATTTTACCTCAGTTAAAACCTTCTCAATGCAACATATATGATGTCCATGACTGATGGAAAGTGATTAGGGAAATATCTTCAAGGTGACAACAATGTTTTCCATTTAATTGCAGATTTTAAAAAATTAGAATATTTTGTGAAATGCATCTTTCAAGAAATTGAAATGTCCACTCTTTAAACACCAATTAAAAAGCAACTCCTTTTTATTCTAGTAATTTCAGTCATAATGTCTGCATGACCTTGTTCCTACACTATCATTATAACTTTAAAAATGTCATAACATGTTTGGCCCTGTGTCTTACTGAATATTTTATTTTAAGCAAGCAGAATCAGGCATGAACAGTCAGGACAGAACATTATCTTTACATCTTTGCCACTGATTCATTAGGGAGCCTCAGTTAATTAACCTTTCTCATCTCATTTTCCTCTTTTTTAACACAGTGAAGATATTTTGTGGACAGCTTTTCTGTGAAAATGTGGACCAAATAACACAAAGGGTTTTTTTGTTTGTTAGATTGGTTGTTGTTGTGTGTTTGTTTTTTTGTCTTTTTGAAAGAGTTCTCCATTAGCAAATGCTTACACCAAACTCTTAGCAGACCTTTTAGATATTCACAGATATTTCAGTATATAAGTTACTCTGGTAGGGATGTGAATTTCCTGTAAGTATTACAGGAACAGATGAATAGAGAAAAAAACAGGTTTGTCTGAGGTTAACTCTAGAACATCCAGCAACATGCATAAGGTCTGATATTTAAGATACTCTACTTTTTTAAAGACCATATTTTGTACTTGTTTTTCTTTGTCTTATTATCGAATTAGGAACTCGTTGGAAAAATATTTTGTTTTTAATCAAGGAAATATGGCATGATATGGTGGAGGACTTTTTTTATTTAAGTATTTTGGTAGGAAGTGGAATCCTTGAATTAAAATATACATTTTCTCTGGCCAACTATATAAGTTATACAACCACTAACTTAAAAAAACAAAACAAAACAAAACAAAAAACAGACTGGGGAAGTACTTGTCAGGTTTTTTAAACTTAAATTACAAGGAGAGAATACTTACTTGTGCTTTTGAATGTCTTTCACTCCATTTTTCAAATTCCCTAATCTTTCTGATGGATTGTCCCTAAAAAAAAAAAATAACTGTGGTAAGAAATCTATTTTTTTTCACATTACCGGCCTTTCAAAAATAATGTGGTTGAAATGCTTACCTGCATAGTTTTTTAATTAAGTTAGCAGCATTTTTGGCAATCTTCTTTGGAAATTCTATCATGTCAATCCCTCTCAATATGATGTTATAGGTTTTCATAGGATCTGGGCCTGAGAAAGGTGGGCTGCAAGAATGAAAGATATAAAAAGAGGTACTTTTATTTTCTAAATAAGAAAACATAAATTGTTATAACTTCATAAAGGACATCGATTCTTATTTTTATTTTGGGGCTTACATTGGAAAGACAATAGAAACCTTTCTCAGTAAGCCGCTTAGCAAGACCACAAATGTGTCAAGTTTGCCTGTTGTTCCTCTCATTTCTCTGTGACTGGAATAGATGTGAACTAAATCTAAACCTAAAACTGGAGATAAATTAATCTTTCCGGGTCAGACTGTGAATACTTGAACAAAACCAGTAGCTAAGAAAGGAATTGGTGTGTGTAGAAGGGGGCTGTAGTTGTGAGAGGGATAGAGAATGGGTCCTGTTGGGACCTTTCTGATTATTAATGTTAAATGGAGCTAGCTACTCTGAAGAACAGAATAAGCAAGGATAGAAGGAAGGGAGCAAGGGGGGAAATTTAGCCTACTTTATTAAGATTTGTTGCCTTAGAAAATCTCTTACTGGATCATTTATTTTACTTGTTCTCAATTCTTGGTGTTCAGGACGTTACATGGCTCATAGAAAGCTCTACCCTGTTCTCTGAAATCCTATAGTTATTGCCATTCTCCTATTATTTGCTCTGGTACACTTTATTGCCATATCTCTGAGAGACTGCCTGCACCTTAGTTCCTCTACCATTCTGTAGTGGTTAACTGATCTATATATTAACATGCCTTGCTTTTTTAAGATCCATCTATTATTTCCAACCAGAAGTCATTAGATATGACAGGCAGGACCATATCACTTTGGGGCCATCCTCATAGTCCAAGGTTTGTCAGCATAATACCTAGTAACTATTCACACCCAGATAAATATCCAGAAGTGAAAGTGCTGTTTAATAGGGTAGTTGTATTTTTTATCTTTACTGTTGAAAGTTATACAGATGTACCCTTTTTTTTTCCATTGAACCCTTTTAGCCCACCTATACCTTCACCACACTACTGTCTGTGTCCATGGGTTATGTATATAACTTATTTGGTTAATTTCTTCCCACCCACCCACCCCCGCCTTCCCTCTGAGATTCATCAGTCTGTTCCATGTTTCTATGTCTCTGAATCTATTTTGTTCATCAGTTTATTTTGTTCTTTAGATTCCACATATAAGTGAGATCATGGGATACTTATCTTTCTTTGACTGGCTTATTTCACTTAGCATAATACTCTCTCGGTCCCTCCATGCAGTCTCAAAGGGTAAGAGATTCTTCTTTTTACTGCTGCATAATATTCCACAGTATAAATGTACCACAGTATTTTTATCCATTCATCTACTGATGGGCACTTGGGCAGTTTCTAGATCTTAGCTATTGTAAATTGCACTGCTATGAACATAGGGGTGCATGCATTCTTTCTGATTGATGTTTCAGGTTTTTTAGGACATATTCCTAGAAGTGGGATCACTGGGTCAAATGGAAGTTCCATATTTAGTTTTTTTGAGGAAACTCCATATTGTTTTCCATAATGGCTGCAACAATCTGCATTCTCACCAGCAGTGTACTGGGGTTCCCTTTTCTCCATATCCTCACCAGCACTTGTCATTTGTTGATGGTAGCCATTCTGACAGATGTGAGGTGATTCCTCATTGTCATTTTGATTTGCATCTCTCATATTATTAGTGACTTGGAGCATTTTTTCATATGTCTCTTGGCCTTCTGTATATCCACTTTAGAAAAGTGTCTATTTAGGTTCTTTGGCCATTTTTAAATTGGATTGTTTGTTTTCCTTTAGTTAAGTTGTATGAGTTCATTACATATTTTGGAGATTAACACCTTATTAGATGTATCATTGCCAAGTATGTTCTTCCATACAGTGGGCTCCCTTTTCATTTTGTTTTCCTTTTGTCTTTCCTTTTAGTGTGCAGAAGCTTTTTATTTTGATATAGTCTCATTTGTTTATTTTCTCCTTTGTTTCCCTTGCTCTAGGAGATGTATTAGCAACCATATTGCTACGAGAGCTGTCTGGGATTTTGCTGCCTGTTTTCTTCTAAGATTTTTATGGTTTCTTGATTTATATTTAAGTCCTTTAACCATTTTGAGTTTATTTTTGTGTACGGTGTAAGTTGGCGGTCTAGTTTTATTTTTTTGCATGTATCTGTCCAATTTTCCCAACACCATTTATTAAAGAGACTATCTTGACTCCATTGTATGCTCTTGCCTCCATTGTCAAATATTGAGTGTAATGGTTTGGGTTGATTTCTGGCTTCTCTGCTCTGTTCCATTGGTCTATATGCCTGTTCTTGTGCCAGTACCAGGCTTTTCTGCTTATAGTGGCTTTGTAGTATATCTTGGTATCTGGTATTGTGGTCCCTCTAACTTAGTTCTGAAGATTGCTGTGGCTTTCTAGGGTCTTTCTTGGTTCCATATAAATTTTTGGAGTATTTGTTCTAGATCTCTAAAATATGCTGATGGTATTTTAATAGGAATTGCATTGGGTAGTGTGGACATTTTAATGATGTTGATTTTACCAATCCATGAACACGATATATTCTTCCATTTGTTTATGTCTTCCTCTATCTCTTTTTTCAACATCCTGTAGTTTTCCAAGTACAGGTGTTTATCACCTTGGTTAAGTTTACTCCTAAGTATCTTAATATTTTTGTTGCAATGATAAATGGGATTTTTTTAGTTTCTTTTTCTGAGAATTCATTATTGGTGTATAAAAATGCCATTGATTTTTGGGTGTTAATTTTGTATCCTGCTACAATGCTGAATTCATTTATTAAATCTAGTAGTTTTTTGGTGGAGTCTTTAGGGTTTTCTATGTATAATATCAAGTCATCTGTGAATAATGAGAGTTTTACTTCCTCCTTTCCAATTGGGATGCCTTTATTACTTCTTTTCTGATCACCGTGGCTAGGACTTCCAGTACTACGTTGAATAAGAGTGGTGAAAGCAGACATTCCTGTATTGTTCCTGGTATTAGAGGAAATGGTTTTAGGTTTTTCCTATTGAATATGATATTGGCTGTAGGTTTGTCACATATGGCCTTTATTATGTTGAGTATGATCTCTCTGCTCCATTTTGCTGAGAGTTTTTATCCAAAATAGGTTTTGAATTTTGTCAAATATTTTTTCTGTGTCTATTGATGTGATCATGTGATTTTTGTCTTTCAATTTATGTGATATATCATGTTTATTGATTTGTGAATATTATAGCCTTGCACCCCTGGAATAAATCCCACTTGATCATGGTATATGATCATTTTAATATATTGCCAGAACTGATTTGATAATATTTCATCGAGGATTTTATTATCTATGTTCATTAGGGATATTGCCCTGTAATTCTCTTTCTTTTTAGTGTCTTTTCATGGTTTTGAAATTAGGATAAAGCTAGCCTCATAAATATATATTTTTTTAATTTTAATATATTTTTTTATTGATTAAGATATTACATATGTGTCCTTGTCCCCACATTACCCTCTACCCCCCCCCCCCGCCCGCTCATGCCCTCACCCCCCCCGTTGTCCATGTCCATTGATTAGGCCTATATGCTTGCATATAAGTCCTTTGGTTGATCTTTCCCCCTTACCCCCACCCTCCCCTACCTTCCCTCCAAGTCCTGACAGTCATCAGCTTATGTTGTTCATTATATTCCACAAATGAGTGAGATCATGTGGTATTTATCCGCTCTCCAGTTCCATCCATGCTGTGGCAAATGGTCAGAGTTCCTTTTTCTTCTTCCTCTTCTTAAAGAATACCTTTCAGCATTTCATATAATGCTGGTTTGGTGGTGATGAACTCCTTTAGCTTTTTCTTATCCGTGAAGCTCTTTATCTGACCTTCTATTCTCAATGATAGCTTTGCTGGATAAAGTAATCTTGGTTGCAGGTTCTTGCTATTCATCACTTTGAATATTTCTTGCCACTCTCTTCTGGCCTGCATGGTTTCTGTTGAGAAATCAGCTGACAGTCGTATGGGTACGCCCTTGTAGGTAACTGACTGTCTTTCTCTTGCTGCTTTTAAGATTCTCTCTTTATCTTTTGCTCTTGGCATTTTAATTATGATGTGTCTTGGTGTGGTCCTCTTTGGATTCCTTTTGTTTGGGGTTCTCTGCGCTTCCTGGACTTGTAAGTTCATTTCTTTCACCAGGTATGGGAAGTTTTCTGTCATTATTTCTTCAAAAAGGTTTTCAATATCTTGCCCTCTCTCTCCTTCTGGTACCCCTATAATTCTGATGTTGGTACGCTTGAAGTTGTCCCAGAGGTTCCTTACACTATCTTCATATTTTTGGAATCTCTTTTCTTTTTTCTTTTTCGGTTGGGTATTTTTTGTTTCTTTGTATTTCAAATCTTTGACTTGATTCTTGGGATCCTCTTGTCTGCTGCTGGATCTCTGTAAATTATTCTTTATTTCAGTCAGTGTATGCTTAATTTCTAGTTGGTCCTTTTTCATGTCCTCCATGGTCTCACTATACTTATTGAGGGATTCATTAAATTTATCGGCGGTTTCCATAAAATTCTTGAAAAACCTTATAAACGTGGCCTTGAACTCTATATCCAATCGTTTGCTTTCCTCCATTTCTGCCATTTGTGACCTGTTTCTTTGTCTCCGCATTTTGGCAGCTTCCCTGTGTTGATAGAGTGGCCCTGCGCGCCAGGTGTCCTGTAGGGCCCAGTAGCTCAGCCTCCCCAGTTACCTGGGTTGGACACTCTTGGTGCACTCTTGGTGCCTTGGTTGTTGTAGAATCACTGGGAGGAATTGACCTCCAGGCCAATTGGCTGTGAGAATCAGCTGTGTCTGAAGTGGGAGAACTTCTGTGCTGAAGACACCCTTCTGGGGCAAGACTTGCTTCAGTGGGGCTTTGGTGCTCACTGAGTCTGCTCCCTGAGTGTGTCCCTTATGGATCTGAGGAGTTGCAGTCTGGATGGTCCCCCTCTGACCACTGGGTACAGTGGCTCCTGGATCTAAGGAGGTGCTAATTCAGCCTCTGCCTGAGGCCACACAGCAGGAGCCACGAAGAGGCTCAGCTGTGAAGCAATGCAAGCCGCTGCGGGGCCTTGGGCCTTCTCTTGGAAGTTCCGGGTCTGCCTGGCTGGGCTGAAGTTAGGTACATTCACATGCAAAAGCCTCTGCTGCAGCCTGGGTGGGGCGGGGTCTCAGGGAATCAAAGGGCGGATCAGGGAGCTATGGCCGATTCTCCGCCCGGAGTCGCGCGTCTCAGTGTCCCAGTAACGGCTGCAAGCACCTCTGAGGGAAAGCCGCCCTCAAGTTCGCCCGCTGCCGGACAGACCAGCTTCTCCCCGTATGAGACCTGGGTCCCCAGAGACTTCCCGGAACCGGAGTTCAGAGCAATCGGGCGTTTGTGATTCAAAAAAACAGCCGCGTCCTCAGGTGCCACCCCCTTTCCTCGCGCGCGCGAGCCACCGTACCTCTGCACTTCACCTCCGCAGCGCCTCTGGCTCTCAGCGTGCTTCTCTTTCCTTCTAGTTGTAGAATTTACACTCAGCCAGCCTTTCTGTTGTTCTGGATGATGTTTGCTCAGTCCTTTGCGGTAATTTTCAATTGTTGTGGGAGGCGACAATTTCCCGGTGTTTACCTATGCCGCCATCTTAGTTTCTCCTCAATATTTTTATGATAATGATATAAGTATTTATGGTAATATATTAAGTTCAGCTTTGGCCATACCACACAGATTGCTGTATTTTTATTATTGTTTTTCTATTCCATAATTCCTATGACCCTGTAGTTATTTAGAAAAGTGCTTTTTAAGTGTTTAGACATTTTAATTTCACTGTGTGGTAGTTAATAGAGTTTTCTTCTATTCATGATATAATTGATTTTTATAGCAATTCAAAGAACACCAGAAAGGTTATTTATCCACCTATACACATGTATGTATGTTAAATTCAACCTCTCTATTGTCCAAATCTTATATGTATTTATGCAGCTACTTAATTTGTCACATATTTAAAATAGTTTACCTTTCTGTCAATAGCAAAAATTAAATTATCTGTAACCTAACCTAATTTTCTTAATTTAAAATCAACTTAGAAGTTTCAAGAGCAGTAATTTAAAGTGCCTACAAATAAAATTAAAAGCACAGCATAACTATTCCTGGAAATGATAGGAAGCACTCCATAAATCCTAATGGCTACTATGCTCTAGACCAGTGGTTCTCAACCTTCCTAATGCCACAACCCTTTAATACAGTTCCTCATGTTGTGGTGACCCCCAATTTCATTGTTACAAATTGAACATAATTAAAGCATAGTGATTAATCACAAAAACAATATGTAATTATATAAGTGTTTTCCGATGGTCTTAGGCGACCCCTGTGAAAGGGTCGTTTGACCCTCAAAGGGGTCGCGACCCACAAGTTGAGAACCGCTGCTCTAGACACTCTTCTAAGTGCTTCATACATTCATTGAATCCTAAGAGCAATGAGTCTTAAGATCTTTAGTCTTCCTCTCATATTTACTGTAGCGACTAAGTTATCTTAACTAATTTTTCACATCCTACTTCATGCTCATCCATTTCTTTTCACTCTCCCTATCTTATTCTGTGCTCTCAGCTTCCTAGATCTAAATTATTGAAATGGTCTTCAAACTAGCCTCCCCATCCATCTTCCAATTTGTCCTACACATTTCTGCTAGCTGTTTTTCCTTAAATATGACAATGTATACCACTCCTTTGTCAGAAAATACTCAATGATTTTCTCTGTGGATGGAGTTCAAGTATAGCAATTAGGATCCTTGAAAGGTGACTAATTGATTTCCCGTTATTTTTTTTTATATATATATATTTTATTGATTTTTTTACAGAGAGGAAGGGAGAGAGATAGAGAGCTAGAAACATCGATGAGAGAGAAACATCGATCAGCTGCCTCCTGCACATCTCCTACTGGGGATGTGCCTGCAACCCAGGTACATGCCCTTGACCGGAATCAAACCTGGGACCTTTCAGTCCGCAGGCTGACGCTCTATCCACTGAGCCAAACCGGTTTCGGCTCCCGTTATTTTTTTTAAATAAAAAATATTTTTTTATTTTAAAATATTAAAACAGTAGCTGTTTTCTGGTCTATTTTCACCATGTTCCTGAATTTTCTCACTACTGTTTCTCTATTTGTCATGTCTCACTTCCAGGAATGCCCATTTCCATTGCTTGCTCTCTGCATTCTTACTCTAAGGCCCAGCTGCAATCTTTTCTTCTTCGAAATCAGCCTTCTGAACTCTATAGATTATAATGATCCTATTCTCATTTTCCTGAGTGCATGGCTTGGTGGTATTTTTCTTTTCCTCAAGAAGTTTATAGTCTGTTTTATACCTGCTAATATCCATAGCACCCTTTTTAGTTGTTTACGACTATAGCATTATTACATAAAAAACCTGCAAAGCATTCAAGTTTCATTTAAATATAAAAACTGCTAACAGATTCTTTTATTTATATAAATAGTTGACCCTGGATAGTTTTTATATAACTATAACTTACCTTGCTGCATTGTTGGCTAAATGACTAGGCTCAAAGATCTTACAGAAAGGTACTAGATCATTCCATATTCACATACATATAAAGAATTAGCAATAATGAGACTCTTTCCTCTATGAGCATAACTATTTGAAGTATAGTAAGAAGATATGGTGAAAAGCACTTTAACATGGTCAATGAGAGTGACTAAGGCAGGCATGTGTAGCTGTTTTCTGGTCTATTTTCACCAGCAGTTCTCTATCAATGTCCATACCTGCCAGTCAGAAGTTCATACATTAGAATTCCCAGTGACCAGTAGTCGGCTGAAATGTCATGGCCTTTGTTCAGGATGATCTCTGGGGCTACATATTCTGGAGTCCCGCAAAAAGTCCATGTTTTCTTTCCAAATCCTATTTTCTTTGCAAAGCCAAAATCCACCTTACAGAGAGAAAAACAAGGTATCTCAAGCCCCTTTTGATTAAGTTTAAAGGCAAGAAATCACTTTAATGAAGGACACTGATGACAATAATAATAAAAAATAAAAACAGATATGTTATAGTCCTGTCTTCTAAAAGGAGTCATCTATATTTCAAACAAAGCCTGCCTGATCAAACTTGGTTTCAATTGGGTAAGTTGAAATTTGAGTAGAGGATAAAATTCACATCATTAACAGTAAAGAAATTTTTTTTTTCTAGAAATACTTTCCATTTTTTTCTTGTTTACGCCAATGGCTGTTGGGTATAAATAAATAATTTCTCATTTACTCAAAATTTTTAAAAACACTAGTTGGACCTACTTGACATATTCTCCAGCATATACATGATTTCTGCTGCATTTAATGAAATTGAGAATTCATTAATATTAATTAAGAAGACACTTCACTGTTGAAGAAGCTAATAACAAAGTTATGGGACCAATGACTGCTCTTGGTAAACACAGATATAAAAATAAAGATGTTTCTTTTATTTTTCTAAAAACCATTTGAAGGAAACTTAGACGCAGAAAATCTATTTTTTTTCTAAACAATTTGGTTGAGAATACAAGTAATTAATTTCCATTTATTTGATTTCTTTGAAAATCTTATGCTGAATAAAAAGTTTCAAAGTTAAAATATTGAAACTGGTACAGACAAGAATCAAAGCCTTCAAAAGCCATGCATTTAAAAACATATAAATTAATTAGAACTTACCTTCTACACTAGGTCTTTAGAGTTCTTGACTACATTTAAAAATATTTTTATTACTACTGCTATTGTTATTAACATGGTCTGGAAATTGTCTGCAAAGCCCATTTTTTTTCCATTTGCATTATTCTCAAATCTAAAATATTAAAATGATTAATAATTTTCCATAATATAAAACCCAGTTTACTTTGGATGCAGAAAGCCAGCTAGAAAAAACTTCTAGCTCTTCTAGGTCTAGGAACGCGTGCCAGCAAGCATGAGTCCATCTCAGCATGTTTTGCCAGGATGTTATTAATTCAAACCTAGCCAATTTAATTCCTCATAACTTTAAAGAATAGTTGCTTGAAAATAGTGACACTAAAATCTGCTTTTAAGAAAAGTTATGATACATAAGATGAAAAAATGAGATTTTATGTTACCAAGTGAACACAGCTTTATAAACCAGTATTTTAAAACTGCAGGGCCGAGAATGTGGAAAGTACACTAACCAGTTTGGCGTAGCCTCGGTGATCCAGGATGAGATTTTCCGGCTTGAGGTCCCTGTAGATGATTCCTTTGGAATGCAGATAGGCAAAAGCTTCTACCACACACGCTGTGTAAAATCTGGTTGTAGAATCTTCAAATGAACCTCTGAGACACAGAATAGGGGAAGAAAAGTATATAAGAAATTCATTTCTTTCATAAGGTCTTATTTCTCATTTCACTATATTCCTGTACCAAAATTTGACCCCAGAAACCAAATCCTACTGGCCAAATGGCATCTGATTGCCATGGCATTGGGTTTTCAAAGGCATTTAAAGATTAAGTCAAGGAATTCTTTGCCCTTATGACTAGGATAGTTTAATCTAACTTCCTGAAAACATTAAAGAAGAGTTCGAACACCACGTTTCGTGTACTTGGTGGCTTTCTCCCAGTGGCCCAGTAACAGTGGTGGGCAGAAGAGAGACAAATCTTATTTTAGAGCTTTATCTATCAACAGGCGTTTTTTAAAGGAGAGTTTTAGAGTTCAGTCATATTTATCCATGCAGGGCTTCTAAATAATATAGGTATGATTCATGAGAATGTGCTTAGAAGTTAATATTTTCAAGGACCACTTTGGAAATGAGTTGTGAGGCTTCCGATGCAATGATATCACAAGCGAGTATTCTTCTGTGTTTGCAACTGATGTCAGCAAGACAAACAACACCCATTTCTACAAATGCTGCATTCTTATGAGGAAGACAACCTGGGGCTCATGCCAAAGATAATTAGAAGCAAAAAGGTAATTTGATGGGAAAGTTTATTAGTAAACTTGATTATGATGATGGGCAGGAAAGCTCTCTTTGTCTCTGCCTCGCTCATGTATTTATTTAATGAAATAATAATAAAGGGAAAAACCTTGTCATCTAAGGTTAACTCCTAGGTTCTAGGCCAGAACCTTATACTTTATTTTTTAATGGAATTCCTTAAGAAGATCCACGATGATTTTTTCCTCTTTTCCCAGCAGGAAACGCAAGTTAATCATTTCATGATAATTCCAGAACATTAGTGTGAACATCAGCTCTTGAGGGGCCGGATGTAAGTTGAGGGTAGACTCGGGCAGTTTTAGGTGGTGAGCAACAAGAGGGGCCCCACACTGGGCTTTCACAAGCGTCACTGAGGCCAGTTTGCATTTTGATGACATTTGCTTCGTTTTAATTCCTGAGAAGTAATGTCTACCACAATAAATCAGTGAATCCAAGGCTAACGCAGCTTCCATCAGGTCATTTAAAAAAAAAATAAAGAATAGTCTTTCAGAAAGGTATTCTTTACTTCAACCCGTAATATCCCCTGAATTGTCACTTAAATAATTAGCTCTTCCCTAAAGAAATCTTTCTTTTGAAATACAATTTGAGGCATGATGCTATCTTTTCTTAACTAGAGTCTTAACTATGATTACTAAGATTTTAGTGTTTCTCTTCAACAATATCTGAACAACTGTGAATTATAAGGACAAGAAAAAGTTTTAAAAAATTGCATCTATATTAAGAAACAAATAACATACTTTATGCTGCGACAATCTTCTGAGGTGGAGCTATCTTTCCCAAGTTAACGCTATATAATCCTGTGTATGGGGAAAGGGGTTAAAGTAGTGCCTTTAAGGTCCTTTCTTCTTTGTGCTTAATTATGTGGATTTGTTTATTGAGCAGTATATTCCTTTCAACTGAAGAGATTACTTGCATTAAATAGTCAGCATCCATAATAGGTCATTACTAACCTATATATAATATATAATAGATCATTAGCACAGAGCTTTAACTAGTTGAGTGCTGTATAAGACTTCAAGTCTCCTCAATGGAGAGCATTACAAAGCAAAAGCAAAGCTCAAGCAAAACAAAACAAGGCATACATGAAATAGAGCCTTGCCCTATTTTACATTAGTTTTAATAAGAAAATTGATTACTTTCTTGTATCAGGACTGTCTAAATATAGTTTGGGTGGGCCTTTTGAAAAGCTTAAAAATTCTTGATTACTCTTAGAAGAGATGATTTCTGGAGCTGTGACTTTGGGCAACATATCTCTGCTTTTCTTACTACTCAGTTGTTAATGGAACCAAATGGACAAATGCATTGTTAATGTTGCAAGTAGAGTATAAACCCTTATGTGAGGGATCAATTTCTCATGAAAGCTCTACCAAAAGGTATTCATATTTATATTCTGAATAAGCTGATCATTAGCAGGAAGATGAAAAAAAATCTTAAAATAACTCAAAGTCATCAGAGAAGGCTCTATGTTAGGCATATGGAACCTAAAGCAAGAATCCTGAGCTCAAATCTGGGTTTCACTTACTGTACAACTAACTGTACCTTTCAGGGTCTCAGTGTTTCCTCTGCAAAATTAGACTCATAATAGAAACTACCTCATTGGAATATCATGAGCATATAAGAATCAATGCATATATTTAAAATAAGTACTGGCATGCCGTTAATAATATATAATAGCCATTAAAATTGAGCACCCAAAAATCTCTTCTTTAGCCACTGTCTTAATATAGGAAAATTGACTGATACAGAACAGGTCTAAAGTCATTAGATGGGGAGTTTACAACACCAATTATCACTGTTCTTGAGTATTTGCTGCTTCTTGCTACAAGGGCTAACTAACTCCCACAAGTCAGCTTTGAAGAGTCTAATGCTAATGTCTGTTCTTTTTTACTTTTTCTATGCTTCTCCCAAATGTATGAAGAAATTCCCTTTTATTGCCTGCCAGTCAAAACTCTCCCTTTTTTTCATCAGGAAGTGAAATGACCACAAATCATTTCAGCCTTCAGTTCTTGGTGGCCCTGTTTATTGTTTCATGATTTCTCTTCTACTGAGGCATTTGCAATTTGGGAGGCTTCTAGAAGGCTGGTTTCCATCCGTTGAATAGATCTATATTGAGAATCTCCCATGTATAAATACATTTGTAACTGATTTTAAAAATCAAATGAAAACCTTGTCTCAAATATGTTTCCATGCTATATGACAAATCAACAATATATGGACACAAAATATGTATCAGCAACATGGTTTCATCACTAAATTTTGATGTAGGCAATTTGAGAATTTTAAAATACTCTTTTAGAAAGCAGTCACAAAGCATTATATTAGGGTGAAACAAAATGAAAAATTGCTATTGGAATTGGAAATGACAATGTAAATTTGAGCTAAAATAGAAATGACAACTTGTTTTATCAACACTTAGAAAATGGCTTAAAGAAATAAATCACTGCCTCATAGCTTTTTGAAATGATAAATTATGCTTTGACTTGTGTCATTTTAATTAAAACAAGTAAGGAGTAGGTTCTTATACCTTTTAGAGAATGGGTTGCTATTTTAGCTAGGTGGCAGTATATAACAACGATTTTACTGAGAGAATTAGATGCTTATGTATACATATTGATAGAGACATATTAAAATTTAATCATAATGTGCAATCTACCTGTCATAAACTGAATCTAGAAATGGCTGAATATAACAAAGCATCTTTTGCCCAAAGGTAAATTCTCTCCTTTCACTGACTGGTAACAGCATCATTAATGATTGTATAAATATGAAGTATCTCACAACCTGTGCAGGTTTCCTGCCAATTTAAAGTTTTGAGGGTGGGAGTAAATTCTTATAAAAATAGACTCACTTCCTTGAAGTACTTTCAATTAGTACCATCTATTATTAGATCATTTGAGATGGAATATAAATAATCACTCTCCATAGGGCTTCCAGTCAAGAGAGGGAGTAGGGAAATGTGCTCACCTCTTCCCATGACCACAGCAAAATTACAACTAAATTATAGAACCACCTGAAGTCTAGCTGAACACAAGCCCTGTAACTAAGGGTATAAAGAGGAAGCCTTGACAAGGCCGGGAGTGGCAGGTATAAGGAAAGAGCAGGTCCCATACCCAGGTGTGACAGTGAAGAATCAAGAGGGACATCTTGGCTGTGGAGGGCCCCTCTGAGGAGGTATGGAGCCCAGCCCCATACCCAGCTCCCCGCCCAGGACACCAGTGTCAGCAAGAGGAGTCGCCATTACATAAGGCGATGAAAACTAGTGGTGATTGCATTCTGAGCGAGACTGAGGACTGCTGGAGTCCCAGGCATTCCTCTTTAGGGGCTGAGCATGGATTTGCTCACTCACAAACTCACTAGTTTTGAACTTCAGTGGAGAGGCAGCAGCCCAAATAGTGACAGGCACATATGGGTAGGAACTGAGTTAACTGGCTTCAGGGTGAGGGCTGGAGGAGCAAGGGTTGGGGCAGCTGTCTCTGGAGACTGAAGCGCTGGCAGGCACAGGCAAGTGCCAAATCTGCATTAACCTGGATTATATCATTCTCCTCACCCTGAGACTCTGCCACACCCAACTCACTTGTCTGGCTGAACCTCTTCCAGCAGCTCCTCCACACAAGGGGCCTGTTCCAACTCAGGCTGCAGATTTTCCTAAAACCTCTCAAAGGCCCACAAACCCTGACAAGCAGCAGCCAAACTCTGTGCCCTTTATTTCTTGCCAAGTGCTCTCAAACCTGGCACAAGAGGTGACCAGTCTCACTTTGCATTTTAACTCACATCAGGTGGCTCCGAGCCTGGTGTAAGCTGCGGCCACTGTGGGCCGAGAGCACAGCTTCAACTAAGTGGCCATGAACCCAGCACAATAGATGGCTGGCCTCTGCCCACCCTGTGGTGCCCACCAAAGGGTGGTAAGCCTGGTCCTAGTGGCAACCAACCTCGGTTCACAGCATAGCTCTCCCCAGGTGCCTCCAAGCCGAGCACCAGCAGCAACCAAGCATAGATCACTTTGTAGCTTCCACTGGGTGGCCTCAGGCTGGCCACAAGCAGCAGCTGACTTTGGCCTGCACTGGAGAACCTCCAGAACCCCTACCCCTGGTGGCCAGCTTCAGAACACACCAGAGCTCCACCTCACCAGCTCCACAAATGACAAACCCAGAGTGTAGACCAGGCTGGCACCGGAGCCTCCCTCAGACACCTCTTTTCTGTGGGGTCAGGTCCTGCACAACAGCCTGTCCTCTGCAGTAATGGCCGGTCCTCACAGTCAGCCTGAGAATCACTTCCCCAGTGACACACCAATCGCAATCAAAACCACTACAATAGGAGGGGGCCAACACCATAGCTTTAATTCTCTTGGACCTCAATCCTCAATGCCGACACGATATATTCTCTTGTATGCTTATTTACCTTAAGTTAGATACCATCATACAATTAGGAATGAGACTTTAAATCAATATCTTGCAAAGAACCACTTGTTCTTTTCTGGGATATCTACAAAGTAACAAGTTGTCAAAAAGTAAGATAGCATTCTGGGAACGTCAAGGCTATGGTTTCAGAAAGAGTGGGAGAGATGAGACTATAATAAAGAGAAAAAAAAGATGTCTAAAGCTGAATATTGAAAGGAACAAGGATGAGTTATAAATGTTATTAGATCATAAATAGAAAATGATGAAACGATCATTTATAGGAAAAAAATTGTGGTCTTTCTTTTAAATAAACATTTAGCGTTGGTAATAATCTCCTGAGATATTTTATAGTATATATTTTTAAAGGAGACTGTTTGCTAATTATGCAAATATGAGATGGAAAATTAATTTTGCATAATTAAAAGAAACAAATAAGCACCAACCAGACCAACTTTACTTTCCCTGAAAGGACAAAAAGAAGTAACTCTAGATTAGATTGTGTACATGAAATACTGCTTATTAATGGATTTGATTTTCCGTTTCCTAAGACCAGCTAAGGCCTGAAAGGGATGGCTGGAAACTTTTATTAATTTTGAAACCAAGGAGTAATGTAAAGTTAGAGGAAAAAGTTACTTTGGCAAAAATTCCCAGTGTCAGGAATGATAGACTGCCCATCTGGAGAAGGAATGGAGCAAAAAACTGATAGTGAATCCAGGTTGCAACTCAGGTTGCAACTGTACAGTTGCTCTTTCTCCTCATGTTACAAGCAAGAGTTAAATTCTAGGTATATAGTTGTCTGATACATACAACTTTCTTTATACATACCTCACTAGGTGCCATTCTTTTTTTAAATATATCTTTATTGATTTCAGAGAGGAAGGGAGAGAGAGATGGAAACATCAATGATAAGAGAGAATCATTGATTACTGCCTCCTGCAGGACCCCTACTGGGGATCAATTTGGCAACCCAGGCACTTGCCCTTGACCGGAATTGAACCTGGGACCCTTCAGTCCGCAGGCCGACAATCTATCCACTGAGCCAAACTGGCTAGGGTGAGTAGGTGCCATTCTCATTGTGGTCATGGTCTAATCATATATTATTAGTTATAAATCTGAAACAGTGAGTTTCATATTTATAGTAAATTATATGTGCGTGGTAGATTGTGCTCCATATTTACATTACCTTTTGAAAGATAAGCACATGTAAAATGTAAATATGACTTTTATACTTCATAATAATTGACTCTTTTTAGACCATCATAGTCAACTACATTGCCAAAGACATGACAGAAATTTCTTAAAGCTCCTACCTATCCCTGAGAATGGTCCACAGCTCTCCACCTAGGCAAGCTTCCATCAACATATACAAATATTTGCTGTCCTTAAATGTTCTGTATAGTCTGTGAATTGCAAACAAGAAAACAAAGGTTACAAACATTATTGCCTTTCAAAAGCATGTAAATGTTTTGAGTGCCATGATTGCCGTCTTATTCTTGCTTTGCCAAGCTGGAAATTTTATTAAAAAGATGAGAGAGATCTGAATTTGCAAATAAGGAACAGGAGGTAATGGCTCCTAAGACTCACACACTGTCGGGAGCTAGTCTCTCCTCTGAAATGTATTAATCCCCGTCATTATGGACACAGAGGCCTTCCTGGTATTCCTCTAATTACAATCTGGTTGATGTTTCAAGCATGAACTCTTGAGCAATATTTAGTGGTTATAAATATGCAGTGAACATAGCTGTAAAGCAGGTTATGTTTTACAAATATAACGTCTGAAATTTGTGTGCTGTTCCCTTAATATATTCACGTTGTAATCTGCTTTCAGTAAATGCCACAGGCAAATTAATTAGAAAAGCTTCTGCATTTAAAGAAACTCCCCATTATCCTCTTATTAGTGCTTTGGTTGAGTAGTCATTGCATTTTTAGAAAATATTTAAAATGCTCAAATACTTAAAGATAAAATAGTTTGATATTTTGTCTTTCGAGCACCAGAGTCTATGCAGAGTTTTGGAGTAACAGAGAGGATAAAAAAGAAATGTTAGACACTCTGATTTTCCCTTTGGGAAAAGCATGTTCTTTTCCCAGAATCTGATTCTCTTGGGGGGGAAAAAAAAGATAGTCAACTTTTTTGCAAAATCTTTCTGTGTGAATGAAATGTGTGCTGGTGCGTGTGAGTGGCAGGGGTTTTGCGGTTGATTTGCACTTGGAGTTGGGACTGTAGTCCCTGGGGCAGCATCCTCACCTCACTATGAAGTCGGAGTGAGCCCCCTGCATGATCTGCTTCTCGGAGCGGATGTGCTCCTGTTGTCTTGTATCCACAATGTGGCGTTTCTTGAGAATCTTCATTGCAAAGGTTTTGGATTCTTCACTTTTCAACTGGACCTTAAAGAAAGGCGGAAGGAAGTCAGAAAATGACTATAGTGTTAATACACAGAGTTCATTCTCAATCCCAAATTAACAGGTGCATGGAGCACTGAAGTGACACCCCAACCACCACCTGAATCACACAATAAGTCCTTGCTGGAGCTGTGTTTAACATCCAGGCTCACAACTATTGTCCAGTCTCATCGCACTAGATCAGATGAATTTTAATTTCAATGGATTCCCAAATAATTTTGTGCCCACTTGAATTAGAAGGGAAATATACTTGACTCTCATTTCATTTAATATGCTTGAGTATACTTGATTGTTTTTCTCCTTCAATCAAAACAGTAGAAATCTACCTTCTCCAATTTTACTGCAAGTGAGTGTGGCAAAGGTAGGATCATATGGGCCTTTATGTTCTGACTCTTTAGTCCTGTCCAAAAACACTTCACAAGTTGTAAAAGTATCTACTTCTATTCTTTTTTAACCTCCCAGTTTGCCCTTTACTCCAGTTGCAAAAAGGAGAAGAAAAGTGTAGCAAGATGTTTTTTAAGAGATTAAAAAAATAATTTTTTTCAAACATAAGCTTTATTTTTTTCCCCCAAGATGGCCTTTTCTCAAGGATTTAGTAATAGAAAGGAAATAAATTCTGGTATCTAGAGATAAGTTAGACCTATTACATATTTTGGAGCAGAGGAAAGGAATGATTTAGCGCTATCATTTTAATAACAATAGAATATGGTTATTGATTTCAAAACCTTTTGAGAACGTGCTCCACAACAGTATTTCTACCTTCCTGGCAATAATGGGCTCCTGAAAAGAGGCTGTACTCTGAACATTAGTAATTCTAATCATATATTAAATATCCTGGGTCTAAAGGAATTCTTTTATAATCTCATATCTGATTTCTGATGTGTGATGGAATTGTGCACCTGAAACCTGGATAATTTTGTTAACCAGAATCACCCCAGTAAATTCAATAAAAATGATTAAAAATTTACAGCTAATTAGATGCTTTCCTATTGGGACACATCTAGGGAAATTGATTAAAAAATATTTCAAGAGATATTGAAAACTCTTTTTCTTCTCAGATATGCACGATAGCTTTAATCCTCTTGGGCCTCAATCCTTACTCCTCAGGTGTACTAACTGGGAGACCTAAGCTGTGCCTTGATGTCCCAAAGCCTCCCTGCCTCCTTTGCAGCCCCACATGGCTCCCTGGGGCTCTGGAGTCCTCAGGCAGGCTGGTGATCTGTGTTTATTGTTTTACATAAAAATTTAACAAGGTGACTTGTAATGAAAATGTGAGATAGTAGAAGCAATCACTTAATAGCAATTTTAAAGTGTTATCATCTAGGGCTCTCCCTCAACAGAATCCTCAAGACAATGCCAAACGGCCCCCATTATTCGGTAATAATGAAAGCCTTGAGGAAATAACATGACAAGCTATATCTTATTTTCAGCTGAAATATCACAGTCCCCTCTTTAGTCGTGAATTGTTCAGGCTTCATCTGCAGGGATAGCAAAGTTCCTAAGAGCCTTCTTCAAATGCACATGTACAAATCGAATTAATGTGGCAAGTTCCTTAGGAGAGAATATGAGGGCACTTCACATAACTGGGCCGCAGTTTGCTGCCAGCATTACTGAATCTGTATGACAGGCTAGAGGCGGAGAATGGATAATTGAAACTGCCTTAAGCCAAAGACACTCTACTCCATCTGTGAAACTCTTTAAAAGGACCGATTAGTGTGAGACAAATGAATTCTGTTGTAGTACATAGTAGAGCACAAAATGTGAAAACCTGCTTCTAAAAGAAATCTGGACAGACAGGAACAATGGCATGAAAAATGAGCTGTGTAACTCAGATTTAGAGAAGAAACAAAATTATATTCCTCTTTAGAGTCTTAGTTAAATGACTGAATACTCTTGTGTACTTCACACATCGAGTGTAAAAATATCTTTATTTATAACACATTTTTACTGTGTACTGGGTGGGAGAAAAGAACTCAGCCTTTAGGGTCACAGATCTGGACTTCAATCCTGACTTCAATTAAGGTCTTTCTGTCTCTTACAGAGTTATTGTGACCTTATATTAGACAGTGCCTCCAAATGGGCATTCATTGATGATCTCTTTTCTCTTTAAAACAAAGCCAGATCAAGTCATGACTCCTTTGCTCAAAACCCTCCAGTGGCTTCCCATCTCACTCATGGCAAAGACAAAACTGTCACAAAGGCTTACAAGGTCCTACACCACCTGGACCCCTGTTACTCATGAGCCTCATTTCTCTGTCAGTCACAATGGCCACCTTGCTGTTCCTTGAGTATACCAAGCAAGCTTTTAGGGCAGCTCTTGGTCCAGGCTATTTGCTTGTGCTATTCTTCTGCCTGAATATTCTTCAAAGACATCCCCAAGAGTCAGCCTCTCAGTTCCCTGAGTTCTTTGCTCAAATGTTTCCTAATCAGAGAATCTCTCTTCACATAAGTCTACATAAAAGTGGAACCACCCACTTTTCCCTTTAGTGTTCTCTATCACAAGCTAATGCACTCAATCATTTGGTTACCTACTTATTTAGTATTTTTCTCCTCTCACAAGTGTAAAAGCAACCTGAGACTGATGATTCTTTTTGTTTACTATGCCTGACAGAGAGTAAATGCTCATGAAATATTTGTTGACTAAGCGAATCAAAGAAAGCATGAAATAAACCAGGATTATTTATCACTGGCAAAGCCATCACAGCATCTAAGCTCCACACTTAACAGGAGAAAAACCAGGGAAGCTATGATGACAAGCATGTAATATTTGGTATCTTTCTTCTTTCCAAAAGTACCCTCGGTTATGCATAAAAGGGAAGAAAAGATTTAATGCCCAACAGGAAATATACATGACAAAAGATTTATATGATTAGCCCTGAATTTTCCATTTCTATAAGATGTTTTTAACTTTGTCTTCCTTGAATGACTGACATGTGATATTCTCAATTATAAGTACTACTAGATTTAATACAATCATATCTAGGATAGTGTCCACTTGACTGCCGACTAGCTCCTGGGTTAGCTCTTGGGAATATGGCCATCTCTTTAGACTCTTTTTCTAGCCTTCACAACTCTCTAGTCCTCTTTAATTAATAAATTCTATAATTCCAAGTATATTTATCATTTCTTATAATAACCAGCGTATTGCTGTTCTAACTACACCCATATGTTTATTTCACTCTAGCCAGGATATTAGGTTAAAAATTTTACCTACTTTGCTATTTCCTAAATAATTTTGAACTTTATATTGGGAAGAATTTAGGGACATAAGTGAAGTCATCAGGAGGAAGTCAGAGAGAAAGAGGGAAAAACCTCCATTAACCATAAACTGCTGGGCACGTCCGTAAACATTATTTCATTTAGTCCTAACATCAACTTTCCACAGCAGAAGGAAGGTTTTGTTGTGTTTTTACAAATACTTCATAGTCAATAACAACAGCAGCTAATGTTTGCAATGATCTTATTTAGGTGTCACGAGCAGTATAGTGTAAGTTTTCTTACTGAATCTTCCTGGCACCCCTTTGAAAATACAATTCTCATTTTTCAGAGGAGCAAATTAAGGATCACCAGGAAAGGTTAATATATGGCCCCAGGCCACAAAGCGATCAAGGGGCAGAACTGGATCTTTTTGGCCCAAGCTATTTCCATTATGTGCTACTGCCCATCAGCTGAATAAAGCATAGTGATTGATGCTGTACAAATGATAGCTTAATGGAATTGGTTAACTCATAAACTCTGTGGGAAAGGCTGAATCATGCATCATTATCTTTAAGCTTCACTCATGCTAGACATGTAGTTTGAGAAACCAGCCAAAACCTCGCTTTCATTTTCCTAGGCACTTACAGAGACCTCAATATGTTATCAGAGACCTGAGCACTTCGGTGCTTGAATCCTGTGAGGAGAAGCCAAGGGTGGTTGGGGGGAGTAGGGGAGAGAGAAGAGAGTGATACAGACGATTGGTGGCAGATGGCTGCTGCCAATGGAAAGTAGGTAGAAGCTACAGAGATCTTTGGGAGTCAGTCTTATTGGTTGCCAATTCCATAAATATGAATTACAAACAGTTTACAGAAACCTTCATACAGCCTATCTACTAAGGCTTTCTGTTTCATCTTTGCTTGAGTGCAGGCAGCCCTAGAATCAGAACCACTGTTTGCACTTGCAAAGCCCTCACTAGTTCCTTAGAGAATAGCACTTAGTCAGAATGTCTACTTCCATTTTAAACTAGAATGCCACAGACTCACAGATCCCAGCACCTAGCAGGGAAGTCAGAGCACCGAGGACGACTGGTGGGAGCTAACTCAACAAAGTTGGTCTGTTATGCGGAAGCTTGTTCTCTGAATAAAGTCCAAGGAACATGTTCATGACAAAGCATCCCCAGATAAACTGACAGCTGCCTCAAGATCACTGAAGAATGCTCAACTCTCAGATGAGCTATGCCAAATTGCTGGAGTGTGCTTCTCTCCACTCTGGTTATAGTTCTTAATCAGATTCACCGAATTAGGCAAAGGGCTCATAATAAAACTTTCACAACCAAGTAAACCAGTAAACTAACTCTCAGATTTTCTACTCATGCATAAGCTCTAGGCTGTTTTGTCTGCATCATTTCCCAATATTCCTCTATTGCCAGACCACTCTGTTCAGTCCTATTATATACTGCCCTTAAACTCCACGTTCAGAAAAACATCACTGGCTCAGTTCTGTAGCAGCAACAATGCTGAAGCAAGGTATAAAGTAGCCATAAAATTCAAGAGGAAAGAAAGGCCTGCTATACATTAAACCCATGGATCCACACTGAACTAGATTTACAATTATACATGTAGAAATTAAAAACATTTAGTGTAAAACAAGGTTTTAGCATAAGAAAATATGAACCAGAAAGGGCTAATCTTTAGAGATAGAAAATAAGTTAGTAGTTGCCTGAAGTGGGGGTGGGAATGGAAAGTATTTGCAAATAGGCCCAGGGGTTATTATAGGAGAGAGAAATG